CCTAGAAAAAAGACGGAAAATCTCATTTGAATTCTTGCTGATCACATTTAGAAGAGAGTTCGCACCTTCGTCGAGCCAATTCTGCAATGAAAAATTTGTTATAATGTTAATCCTTTGCACTGCGATCTCTTTCGCAGCTACGTTGATTAGCACTTGTTCGTTCTTGCTGACGCGTTGTACGCGGGACTCGAATTAGTATGTTTTTCGCATAGGGTGGCGGAGCCGGTTACAACGGGGTGATCAATTGCTGTTTCTTTGATTAATTAATAAGACATATTAAACCTTTTTCTTCTTTTAGTTTGTTTACTTTTCGATTAAAAGATTTATTCTCTTATTTTGTATACTTTTTGATTAAAAGATTTATTCTTTTATTTTGTTTCCTTTTTGATCAAAAGATTTATTCTTTTATTTTGCTTATTTTCGAATAAAAAGATATATTCTCTTATTTTGTTTGTTTTCGAATAAAAAGATTTATTCTTATATTCTGTTTATTTTACAATAAAAAGATTTATTCTTTTATGTTCTTTATTTTTTTAAAAATGACTTCAATATGTCTTAATACCAGTTGAAAATTTTGACAGTAGAGAATTTCTATTCTCTTTCTTAACCAGTTTTGTAGATTGGTTTGGAGGAAATGCAGTCGAGTACGATAAGATATTTAACCACTTTCGTGTTTTCAATCGTTTCAACTATTTTTGTAGTTTTTTGTAGACGAAGTTTATGTTCGGAGAATCTATTCGATTTTAACCAGTTAGCTGTGGCGTCTCCATTTCAGAGCGCGCACCTATATGTGTCGCGAGAATCAAGCGCAATGTAAGTGTCGCTGTTAAAATATTGGATCAAAAAGAGGGTTTTATTTGATAAAATTAACAATTTTATTACTACTATTTACTTATTCACTTGGCGTTAACATATACCGTATACATAATAAACGAAAAACCCAGGGATAATCGAATACTTGTAAAAGTTAAAAATTCAAATTGCTGCTGTAGAGAGAGTGGTATTTAGCAAAGCAAGGAACAACATATAATGGCACTTTGCACGTCGAACACCAATACCGTGATTCTTTTCTAATTTTATTTGTATAACAATGTAAACAACTTCGTGCAGGATCGGCCTCCAACCTGGGACATCCTCTGTGTAATTTAAAACAAATGTCAATATCTAAAATTTTGTATTATTACCATCGTCGATTCGAACAGTGACCGCTGTCGCAATTAACATGTCAAACATGATTACACACTGTAACTTATCTGTTGCAGATAATATTTCAACATTATATGTAACACATAAAAGAAAATTCATCGTGACGTCACGGATAATTCCTGTAAAACCGGCGTGGCATTCAACATGTTAAACACAGAGCAAGTGTCGCTGTTAAAATATTGGATCGAAAAGACGGTTCTGTTTTATAAGATTAACAATTTTGTTACTGATATTTACTTATTCACTTAACATCAACATATGAGCCGTTTATTTTGAAAGTGGCATAAGTCACCTTATCGTAATGAAAAGTGGTGATTTTTTAATGTTTATACGAAATTATTTATACTGAGAAAAATATCAGTATCCCGAGATAACAAATACAAGTAAATCTTCTCGAAAGTTAGCATCCATATTTTTAAACGTGTTAAAACGCAAACCCTTAAATATATCGACTTAAAAACAAAGTGACTTATGCCACTTTCAAAATAAACGGCTCATATACTACATACATAATAAACGAAAAGCCCGGGAAAAAATCAAGTACTTGTAAAAGTTACAAATTCAAATTGCTGCTGTAGAGTGATATTCGGCAAACATCTTCGCGTAGGACTGGCCTCAAAATATTCTAAGCATATTGAAATTTGAGAATATGTTTTCGTTTTCCTTAAAATTACAATTTAAATAGCCAATGGTCGCTGCTTCTTACGCGCGACGAGTATACTCGTCGTGTCACAAAATATTGCCAAATATTTCTCCATGACGAGTATACTCGTCGAACACAGCTATAACTGGTTAAATCAATTAGCTTCTGAACAAGAGTATACCTAATGACAGATTGCAAATAAGAATCGAGAGTTTTGACGAGAAATAATGTCTTAAAGTGATTACCTGCTGGGCAGAAATTTGCCAGCCGTTCTAAAAAAAAAGAAATAGCTTCTCAAGTAAAAGGTGCGAGAACTTTTCGGCGCGTTTCAAGCGAGCGTGGTCGTTTACGGTCGAACCGAAGGAGTTGTTCCGAAGCGAGGCAACAAACGGCCCCGGAGGTTAATTCTTCATCCCGGCTGGCAACCGTAATTGATTTTTCTAATTGCCCTCGATGATATATCATCGAGCCCGCCGGGTTCTTTTGGGTGCACTTATCGGACCACCCGAAGTTCGCCGTCTAGAAATGTACTCGTTGAGAGTTATGAACGATCGGTGCTCATCGTCCCGAGTTTGAGCTATCGCGACCCTCGAACCACTTTACGACAGCGATACAGAACGAGCTCTGCGAATAGTCAGCCTCTGGCGTTGGTAGATTCAACGATCGATCAATCTTCCGGATGATTTCGCGGAATTGAGACGTCAATCGATCCGTTGCATACTCGCGCTTAAGCGTCTCTTTATCTATGATTCGACCGGTCGTTTCTTTCTTTCTTTCATTCTTTTTAGACTTTCGTGCTCCAATTTCGTGGGTTCGTTGCACTGTTATGACAGATTGGCAACAATGATAGTGTTGCTGATGTTCGGTTGTCAGTAACCGCGTGCTTCTTTTTCAAGCTTCGTTTTATTTCCGACTGCGTTCGATGTTCAGATTGAAGGATCAATTATTTGATAACTTCATGATCGAATGTACCTCGATAAGTGATTTGTTAGTTTTGGAAATCATTTTGTGAAGTTTAGTGCAGAAAATACGGGGCGTTCAAGATTTTCTGTCCCAGATTACGCCAACATCTTCAACGCGAGCAAAAGTATTCGACGATCCATTCTCGAATGATTTATTGCAGCATACGAAAGTAGATTGTTGTCGGATCTATATAAAATAAAACGTTCACTATTTTCTTTCGCTTTTTCCGTAGCTTTTTCATCGAATATCGTACATGTTTCCTTCAATTAATCGAGAAAGTATAATTGTATTATTCGGCAAAGAATACTGTAAAACAGTTTCCCATGAACAAATGTGCGAGCGCATGCTTGAAGATGCATTTTTCAAATACCGTCGCCGAGGCGCTAAGAATAGAGCAGCCCGGGAAGATAAGTAACACTTGACATTTCGCAGAGGGCTGTAAAGCTATCTGAAAAGTAGGCCTGTTGACAGCCAACGCCAATTAGTCAGTGTAGAAGCATTTCTCTATATTCCGCCATGGATGATTCCATGTGATTGGAATTTCGATCGACCGAGAATGCACCATAATAAGCAAATCGAACCGACTGGTAGCTAAGGTGTGCCTGTCCTGCATTCTGCGTACTCGTGTCGATACCGTGCAGCGTATTTCAATAGCCTGTTCTGTCTATTCATCTGTCTGTCGTCTAAAAAAATCTCGCATACTTTCCCATCAGCCCTTCTACATTCTCAGAGTTTTTCCTACCTACGCACGGTTTTATATTTTGAAGAATGTTTCGTTAGTTCGATGCATTCCGTGCAACGATCATATTCGTCAAAACGGAGCAAGTAGGACATAATGATCACTGTCCACTGTGATTTTGCATGTTCAAGTATGGAATCGTGACTTAATCCTTGAACTGCGTTTGATTTTGACTCAAAGTATACATATAAATCGTATACTTAACTTCTTGCATTCTGTGATCACTTTCATAGCCACGTTGATTAGCCTAATCATTTCTATAATGAATACGAGACAATTATTTAATCTTGTATGTCTTCATTTATGTTCGTTTGACTTAGAAGAAATGAATAACGTTCATATTTATTAGATTATACGTGAAATCTTCGTCATGGGTCTGACTAGTGTAAAGGGTTAATTGCGTAAATTTCGGCAATTAAATAAAATAAATAGCTGTTACATTGGGAACAATAGATAGATCGATAGGTGTACAAGAAGTATTTCCAAAATCATGCTTCGAAAAATTGCTATACAGGGTGTCCCAAAAATGTCTCGCATTACGGAAATGTGAGGTAGCTGAGGTCATCCTGAGTAACTTTTTCCTTTGCGAAAGTGCAATTTGCGGCTTTGTTTACGAGTTATTAACGAAAAACACTGACCAATGAGAGGTGAGGGCACGAAGTTCGAGAGCCCGCAGCACGAGGCTTTGACAGAAGGTCGGGACGGACTCGAGCCGCGTTCGAAGTATTGAACAAGTCACGAAGCGTGAACTTTCCGAATTTTTTTTACTACGTAACAGTGATATTTTTAAGAAAAACGTTGTTCACCTTTACTTTAGAACGTCTGAAGAATATTTACCAATTTTTCGGACCCGAAATAATATGTAGCTTAACCGTGACAGCCGTTTTAATTTTCTGGTGCGCGTGACACCTCGTGTGTACCATATGAAATTTTTATGCAAGATGCACAGTGAAGATTAACAAAGTTCGTAAATGATATTTTAACTTAAATAATTCCGTGTCCGAACAGAATACAACGAATGATTCGCAAAGCTGATTTAACAATAAATAATCGCGTTAAAAGACGTAAAGGATTTGTTTATTAGAGAAATATAATAAAAATATAATCAATATTATCAATAATATAATGCTCGGAGTTGTCGCAATCATCGTCGATTGTATAATCGCGAAAACGGTCCACCGTCGAAGTATCAAATCCGAAGAATTTATCAAATATAGTCGACTATAATTCTCAGCTTCAGCAGCTCTCTCTCTCTCTCTCTCTCTCTCTCTCAGAAATAATTGCCCCAAGGTCGCAATAAAGCACAGTAGAAACCTTGGGAGGCTTCCGTCGAACTGAAAGAATGCCACTTGTAAAGCGGAAATTGTAGTCGAAGCGTCGGCTAACTCGCTCGCAGATTAACTTTCGCAATCGCAGTCTGACTAATGGCGTGATTTCCGTTTTCCCCAGGAGTACGACAGCCTGATGACAGAGTGGCAGGCGGCGGGTCGCAGACTGGCCCTGGAGATGTCCGAGCTGAAGGAATGCAGCAGCCTCTCGGGCGCGTTGACGCCTCTCGGCCGGTTGCTGACGGACCCTACCTTGAGACGAACATCCCGGGACGCCGAGGAGGCGATCTCCTCTCTCGAAGAACGCGCGTCGCCGCTTCTACACCTCGAGCACGTTAGGTTAGCACCACGACCATAACTCCTGGAAGCTAGAAAGTCCTCGAAGATAGCCGCCGCCGGCGGCGGCTGCGGCGAGTCTCGCGGCGGCCGATACATTATCGAACGTTATTGTCATCTGGGTTCTCCGGGTGAATTCTCCTAGGATCCGCTTTAATTATCGTGACACCGGTTCTCCCGACGACGATCTCTCCCGACAATAAACTAGCCTATTCGTCTATTAATTTCCCCGGGGGAAAACAAAAAATAGCGGAGGCGTTCAAAGGCGAGTCGCCGACGATGACTCGTCGATTTCCGGCGAGACACCCTGTCAGAGATTCGCCGGAGTCCTCGAAGACAGTTCGTTCGGCTGAAAGGGGACACCTATGCGTCTCGCCTGTGTAGAAGGCTTTGTGCGGCTAGGTCTATTTTATAGAAGAGCCGAGCCGAGCCGAGCCGGGCCGCGCGAGCGACTACGAGCCGAGCGGGGAGCGTACGCTTACACGAGTAATCGGCCGGTAGATTCTCGGCGGCGCATAGCTGGCCCCGAAGGACATTTTAATGCGAAGATAACGTCCGGCGGCGTGTTAGTCAGCGCCCACTCGGTGCCTTATGTGCCTTATGCGCCGTGCCGCGGACTATCGCGAGTTAGGGTTCGATGTTTCGTTGCCGATAAGACGCAACAAGAATTCCTAACGGTGCGCCGAGCCGCGAACCTGCGATCATGGTTCCTTTTTATCTTTCCAGATTGTCGGTGAAACGGGCACGGGGACTGGTCGAGGAGGTCGGGAACGCAGCCACCAGGCTCGAATCCTCCTTCGAGTCCAGACGAGCCACCATACGCAACCTCGCCGTTCTGAGAAGCATCGAGGACCAGGCCCACGAGGTAAGTCCCCTCTGAACTTCGCTGATTTTCACCGTTAGTGATTTTCGGTTTCTGGAGTGACAGTGAGCTAGACACCGATCCACGTCTCTAGAGTACTTAACCCTTTCGCTACGGCAGCTCCATCCGCCGAAGTACCGTCACCGAACGGAAACTTGCTCCGGAAATATGCACGGTGCGCGTGGTTTCTGTATATATGTTGTTCCAAGTCTTAAATAATAACTGTGCGAATAAAACAATCGTTGCTCTAATGTAGCAAGTATATTTACATTTTTAATTGAAAAAGACTTACAAAATTATAGGTAACATAGGTATTTATATAATTACGAAGCCTAACGATTAAATGTTTAATATAATTAATAACGAGACGAAAATTATTAACACGTTCCGTGCCGAGCTTTTTTTACTCGAATCTTCACACTTTGATATTTGACTAAAACTTGATGTATTACGTGCAATTATTAATTCTCGTACACATAACAACGTAACAAAAACTTATCAACGCCCATTCTTGCGGTGGAAATTGATTCTTCGGTTCTAAATTTCTTGTAAACAATTTGTTCAGTTCACTAAGTAAACATGCAAGCGTGTACCATCGATGGTACACGTGGCACGGAACGTGTTAAAAGATAATAATATGTAAAAACTAATAATATAGTTCTGTATGATATATTTGAAAGCAAGGGTCTGTACAAAGGCCAACACCGCAATCTTTGCACTCGTACCGCGAATCCGTTCTTTTATCATTTTTGCTACAAATTACACATCTGTGTCTTCTATATACACTTCATTTCGATGCCGCATATATGCGGCGCCCGTATCCATAGGTCGTCGAGTGGATGCCGCGTATATGCGGCGCTCGACACGAAAGGGTTAAAGAGAGAAATAAACACCTAAGTGACTATTATGCTTAGCACAATAGGTGCAACAGATCTTTTCATATTCTATAGAAAGATCCTCGGTCTATTGATAATATGAAATAGTATTTTAGGTTAATCTGTGACCGTGACATTAGAAACGCAGGACTTATCCGAGACGCCTTTGCAGGTCAAGAAATGAAACGCAAAGCTAGAACCAAGCTTCAAAATTCTAGAAAATAGCTATATTAGAATCTCGATTATCCAAACCTCCGAAAGGTGTTACCTAAACCCATTTTGTAGATAGATAAATCAAAAACAAATTATTCAAAAGAAAATCCATCCAAGCTCCGACGTATCCCGGGTCCGAAAGGAATCTAGGGTTAAGAAGCGATTAGGGTAGATGATATTTGCAGAACTTTTTCGTCGGTAGAATACGTTTGCTAGAATTCTGAGATCTGTGTCCTAGAAACTGGTACCATTTATGGGGAATTCCTGTTGTTTCGGGAGTGACTGCTCTTGCAGTGTCCAAGTCCATTTCTATTCATCGTTTCAGCAGTATTTAATCGTTATAATTTTTTGAAGCGATTTCGTACAGACGAATGTCTTCGTTAAGACGTCCTAAAATAATATACTAAACATTATTATTTTAAGGATCTAGCTAGATATGGAGATCCAAGTCTATAAAAATGATAAAATTCGATAGCTTACCGAGCAAGATCATGGAGTTTCAACCCCCTACCTTGTTAGGGTAGTCACTACAGGCACAAATAAGGAGACTAGTCTTTGCCGTATTTACTTAATCGAACCACATCCGAAGAAATGGGGATCGATGCTCATAAAAGTGATCTATCTGATAGCTTATCAAGAAATAACATTCTCGAGTTTCAACCTCCTACCTTGTAAGAAAAAAATCAAAAAGTACAATCTTCACCTAATTTCCTTAATTGAACCACGTTTGTGGAACTAGAGAAAATGACGATGGTTTATTTGCAATCTCTGGTTGCGAAAGATGAAGAACACGAACGAATCTCTGTCCAGCGATACAATTCTAAATGTTTCGAAGATTGCGAACACGCGCGATTGTCGGCGAGGCGATTGATAACAGGGACACGATCTCGAATGGTGCCGTTTACCTTATCGGAGGCAAGAGCACGTGTTATTCGTGGTCGTCCCCATCGATTTTCCTGCCTCGTCACCGTCCTCGTACGGACGGTCGACGATTTATTGCGAATTCACGGTACATCGATTGCGAGCATTAACATTTTTTCACTGGCGGACCTGTTCGCCGTACCGGCTGTCAGGAGGTCCTCGCGCGGAAGTGCGAAACCCGATCCTCCTTCCGCGATCCTGGACCGAACGATTCCCACAATACGCCGCGCGCAGCTCGTCGGACCGTTTACCGACACCGGCGATATGTTGTATTATCGATTAGCTCCGGCCATGTGTAAAATCTCCCCCGCGAACGACTTTATGGGAACTTGGCCTGAAACTCCTGGATATTCCACCGGTTTACTCCCGTTTCGCAATCCAAGCGCGAATTCTCCTCTGCCCTTCGATATTTTTCCAAAATACAGTAATGTTTCCCTACCTGACGCTCAGATTGCGCACAGAAATGGACAATTTGGAAAGAGGAAATACGATTATTCGAGCCTTGCTGCTCGAATAATTATTTTAATAATGAATTATTATAGTCACAAATCGTGACTATAAATATGAACCGCAAATATCGGATCCGGATCTTTCGCTTGCCGGGCGTCTGCTTTAACCAATTAAGCTCTCCGAGGCCGTATACAGTGATTTTTCCCTAGTTCACGCTCAGATTGCGCATAAAAATGATATTTGGTAAGAGCATTTTATAGTTGTTGACAATTCGTAACTATAAAAACGAACCGCGATGCTCGAATAATCGTATCTACTCTCCCTAAATTGTCCATTTTTGTGGACAATCTGAGCGTCAATTAGAGAGACATTACTGTACTGCTCCGCGAGCTACGAAGTCCTAAAATGATCGCTGTATCGTTCCTTGTAATTGAAGTAAGGATGCGTTTATAGTTTTTGTAGAATTTTTGGAATTCACGAAAATGTTCACAGTCACGTATCAATGGAGATTTTAGTTGTATTGATTGTATCTGCTGCTCTTATACAATTTTTAATAACTTTTCGGTACACATTCAAGTGTTTTCTAGTTGACGAAACTACTATCTTGTATATAAATCCATGATTTTGTATATAAATCCACAGTTTGGGAACAAAAACGACGAGACCGAATTTATACAGTTTCTACACCGATTTCGTTACAGTGCGTGCTCGAATGACAAATTTATACTATTGTTTTCTAAGAGAAAGCACTTTCGCAACTTCAACAATCTTTCGAGTCAATGTAATCACTATTTCATTTCTAAAGCTTGCCCATCAATTTTCAAATGCGACGAAAGAGACGCTTTCTGGTGATGCGTTAGGAGATACATCTGCACCTATTCTTCCAATTTACAGTAATGTCTCCCTTACTGACGCTCAGATTGTCAACTAAATTGGATAATTTGGGAAGAGAAGATACGATTATTCGAGCCTTGCGGCTCGTTTTTATTATAATTGTGGACAATTTATAATTATAAAAATATACCGCAAGGTTCGAACAATCGTATCTCTTCTCAAAAGGAGAAACCGCAAAATCGAAGTGTATACAGAAACGAATTTACAGCAGAAACATTATGATCCGTCATAAATTGGCTCAATTTAGCCACTATTTACGAGCTACGAGCTACCATAAATTGACTCATTTTGGACACTGTGTCGAGCTATCGGGAGCCCGATAGCCCAACATAGTCGCAAGAATGACGATCAGGAGGAATAAGAACCAGGGGACGGGAGCATGGGACGGCCTGCTCGATGACTCCTCGCAAACGAGGCCGAACATCGGCTCGAGGTCGCCGAGGATGCCAGAAACGAGGTTGGCGAGGCCGCTGACTCCTCGGCTGCCCGTGGAAAAGCCTGTGGAACAAAACGAGACACCGTCTCTTCTCCGGGTCTCTCGATCGATCCGGTATCGTTACACACACCGGGTGTCCCTTGATCGGGAACCGGCCAGCCGTGCGATTTTCGAAGTGAAAGTCCGGCCGAGCTCTCTCATCGATTCTCAACAACGAACCCTTTGTCTATCCGCTTTCGGGACCGGCCGAAGGGGATGCCTCGGAATTGGAGTGCCTTCGTCAACGCAGTTGTGTAAGTGACTTTCCGATGAAAGCTGCAGATTGGCTGCCTCGACCAGGTTGTTGATTCCGTTCGGAAACGATGGCTAATTGGTTCGTTCGATCTGCTTGCATTAGGTAATCGTCCGAGCCGCTTGCAGCGGAACGAGGATGCTTCGATGGATTGCTGTATAAGTCCCGTCGCTCGTCTCATTAGTAGACTGCAAATTTTATGCATTTGTGAACGAAATGTGTAGATCGAATGCAAACATGATAAGTATTTATATAGTTTGAAAATTATGTTATACATTTATTTATACAATTTCTATTATACGTTTACACCGTAGCGATAGCTTTTGACTATCAGCAAACGAAGCTGTAGAAGCTTACGTTCAGAAAACGAGGAACTATCCTATGACTGATTTCTTTAACTCTTTAGCAATAGAAATGAATTTCTTTAACATGGGCTAGATTTATAATAATTTATAATTTCTCAACATTTACTAGATTCATTAAACACGTCTGAATACAAATGAATTTCTCAGCATTTACTAGATTCATTAAACACGTCTGAATACAAATGAATTTTTCAACATTTACCAGATTTTTTTTTTATTAAACACAACAGATTTACTAAACGCAACAGATTTATTCAAACACATCTCAACACAAATTCATTTCTGTACAAAAAATTCTGTCACAAATCCTGCACATTTCTCCTTCCAAAGAACATAAATTATCCGAGCTTTTTAAAATAGGGACCTGCTTCCAGCAGAGACCAGGGACGATCTTGCTCAATCATCCTCTGACAGTCAAAATTACCATCGAACGGGTCGATTCTGAAGATTCGAACGTCACCTGTCTAAATTAGCAGTACAGTAAAGTCTTCCTACTTGACGCTCGGATTGTGCATAAAAGTGGACAATTTGGAAAGAGTAGATACGATTATTCGAGC